ATAAACTGCATGTGACAGAGATAACCACGCTGATGCCACCCATTGGTTTGCAGAGTCTCGTTTTAAAGTCTTGATTTTGCATTTTGCCGCTAAATTATTGGCACGCCACGTTATCTGACTTAAAGCAAACACTGTCACTGCTGATAGCTGCAGGAACTAAAAAAAGCTCACGGCTTCACAGTGAACATGTTTTTGGACAAACTGAGAACTTGCCCTGTGGAGTTTTCTTGTATAAAAAAAAGTGTGCATAGCCCAAACGTTATTTTATTTATTGATTTTTCTTTATTGTAAAATATTTGCAAAGCAAATTCAAAGTCTAATTATTACATTGAGTTAATAACTTGACTGCCTTTGCTGGTAGACTCCTCCTTTTGTTTGTGCCTCTTAGATCAGCAGACTTATCTAAAAACATTGGCAGGAATACGTGTCACGACACCTGCATGTACACATTTACATCCTGTGTTGATGCATTGTTTTGCACTTTCTAGCATCACTCCTGTATGGCACAGACATGTATGGTTAGTTTATCTTGTTATTCTGAATATGTGCCTTATACCACCGAATCACTATACTTTATTAATCCTTGAGCAATTTAGGTGTGTATATAGTCTGATGACGAAAACTTAAACACGCACACACTCGCACAAAATATTATATACAAATATACAATATAAGTTACGCATGTTGAAATTGACAGGTGAAACAACTGAAAACAGAGATCATAACATCGCATTTGCAGGGGGATGATTAGATGAACATAGTAAATACAAAAATCAAAGGAACTGAGATCTATATATTTTTCTAATAACATATAGATCTTAATCTGTAATGATGTTGGTGCAGATTGGCCCATGTGTTAAGGAGGATAAAGGGTACATATAGACATGGCATAAGTCATATTTATTTGTGTTTTCATTTAAGAAACCAAGAGAAAAAACTCCCACAAGATAATGTCAGAAATAGAGGCTATACGAACGCATTTTAGCATATGCATCACCTCTCAGTGTTCATGAGAAACAGGAAGCCAAGCAGAGAGGTGCTATGTTCTGAAAACTGTAGGTGAAAACATCTTCAAGGTTCTCACGGGACGTAAAAACCACAATTACCAGTGGTGACGAGCTACTGAAATGAAATTTATACAAGCTCAGACTGCAAAATGGTTTCTTCTCACTTATGATGGGGGTAGAAACTTTACTGAGTTTTGTCTTCAGGCCACTGGTGTATGTGGTTATGTGTGTGCGTGTGTGTGTGTGTATACACAGGAAACAGTTTCAGGAAGTTTTTTTTTAAAGCCTGTGGTTGTTTTTGACTTTTTCGTGTCTATGCATTGCCACACACAAATGGTTTACCTCAGTTTAGATCGACCACATGCCAAACCTGATCTGAAACCTTAACCATAAATATGACTTAAACCAACCTTAACCAAATGGTTTACCTCAGTTTAGATCGACCACATGCCAAACCTGATCTGAAACCTTAACCAATAAATCAAATTTTCACCACTGCTGGTAAAATAGTGTCAACCAACAGACTGGTTTCTACCTTATTTTGCTGTTTCAGGTTGATGTACAATTTGTAAACAGTTTTTATACAGTGTTAATAATATGAATGACATAAGGATTTATTTATTTACACTGAGAAGCAGAAGATTAGCTTAGCATTTAAGTCTATTAATGGGGTAGGAGCTAGCTGAGGTCTATTCACAAGTAAAAGAAATATCCAGTTTTCTCTAAAGATCCACACTGAAAACATTTTAGTCAGGAAGCACAGTATCTGGTAAAAGTTTTCAACTGGGAAGTCCAGCAGCCACCTGTGCGGTGGAAATACGTAACAACATAGCTTTGCAGGTTAGCTGTGAAGACAGGCTTGTGCCAAATGAATGAGCAGAGCTCTGATGGTTCCTTTCCTGCGACATTTCCTGAATCGGTTGCTCTAGAATCACCTACCAAGTGAATGTGTACTTGTACAAGTGTACTTGTGAATTATGTGACATGCCTGCATACTCGTGTGGATCCTTGTGCCCACAGCTACGCCTCAGTCATGTGAAAAAGCACCACACTGTGCAAATAGCAGTTTCAGTAAAAGGACAGAATTGTTATTATCAGGCAGAGTATGACAAACATAAGAATATCAACATTTTTTAAACTTAGTGGAGTATTAATATTAAAGTAAACTTCACCCAGGCACTCTCTCTCTGTCTTAGCCCTGTGTCAGGCTGGTGACCTGTAGCTGGGATAGGCTCTAGCCCCACCGCGACTCTGATAAGGATAAGCAGATGAGAATGAATGGAAACTTTACCCAAATTAAAGTTTACCTAAATTATTATCATGTGCCACGCTGTTGTTCAGGCTATTCTGTTGGAGCTGGTCACTTCCTGAGTCCTGCAAGTGTGGAGGTGGTGGGTGGAGCTCCACAATACAATCAGAAGGGAAAGGTAAGACCTACCTGACTTGCAAGGGCTGCACCGCCAGCCTCATCTTCGTTGCATCTTTGGTGCAGTGATGTAAAGATTTCTTATTTGTGTTATGTACAGCAGATGTGATGTTAAATTCAGTGACTGTGTGTATACACTGTGCAGGTCTTCATCTTTACAGCAGACAACAGTGTGCTACAGATTGTCGCCCAAGTCTCTGGAAAAGAGGTATGAAGCTCCTTAGCATTAATGCTCCCCATTCAAAGCAACCACCTGCTTAGCACTTAGCTCATGTCTTTGTGTAGCTGGGATCCTACTTCGGCTCCAGTATTTGTGCGGTGGACCTAAACGCCGATGGATTGTCAGACCTGTTGGTCGGTGCTCCGATGGCAACGGGCAACGTGAGAGAAGAAGGGAGAGTCCATGTGTACATCAACCAGGGGCAGGTAGGCAGGAACACTGAGCATGGTATTATTGTACTGTGATGCTGTGATGTGTTGATTGTTTCTGCTGTCAATCCTAATTTCACAGTTCCATACATCCATGTATAACAAGTAAAATGTTCCCTGATTTATGTGACACTATGAGGACGAGTCTTTGTGAATTAAAAATAAAGGAACCTGATCGTGAACACAGACTTTATTTTCTTTCTTTTTTTACACTTTCTGAGATGACCTGTTAACGTGTCCTGTGTCCTTTCTCAGGCAAAGCTAGAGGAGGAGCAGTTTCAGTTGACTGGCAGCAACGCCTACGCCGCCCGATTTGGAGAGAGCATCGCAGACCTGGGAGACCTGGATGACGATGGTTACCCTGGTAGGGATCACATGCCGACTGATCTAGAAGTTGTTGTTTTTTTTATTGGAGCAAGCTTTGGTATACACAACACCGCTGATACTACTACAACCAGAAGTACTGAATATGTGACAGTTAATGCTAGAAGTTTATAAAATCTTCCTTCTTATGCTTCTGAAGACTACTTCTCCTATAAATACTTTTAGTATTAAAAATACATTAAAGGAAATATATATACCAGTAAAAATAAAGATAAATCCTGATGGCAGTACTATTGCAAAATGTAAATATCCCCTTAACTGTCTTAGTGCAAAAAACATGAAGTCTAAGTAACTGTTGCTTCAGATACTATTAGTCCCACTGCGAATATTACTGCTGGTGACTCTGCCTGCAAATACTATAACTCTTCCTAGTACTAAGAGTATTGCAACATTGTTTTTCATTCTCTTCCAAGTTCTACAAATAACAGAAGAGTTTGTACTGCAAATAAGTACTATACTTTAGAAACGACTCCTGCTTTTACTGTTTCTGCTCTTGCTACTGCTAACAGCACATGCTCTGCTGTTGCTTCAGTAGCTGTCACAGTAGCACAAAAACCCACAGTGAGCAGCTGTGGGTTCACTTGTGTGCTCCAGGGCACCTTGAGAGTGGTAATTAGAGAGCTGCTCTCTTTACTTTCTGCTCAGATCTACTGCATTAGCACAAACATTAGAAATGCTACTACATTACTTAACTGGCTGTTGAGCTACATAACAAAAAACATGCATGTAGTGATGATGTATTTTAGGTGCCTTACAAGCCAACCAACTGTACTTGAGACTTCCTGATAAGTAAAGAACATCACACAGACTTCAACACAACGCCCTAACACATACATCAAGACCCCTACCTTCTGTGTGTTTGTGTGTGTCTGTGTGTGTGTTTGTATGTGTGTGTGTTTGTGAGAGGGGTGGAGGGTGTTATTATGTTCATTAAATGTTAATGACATACTGTTGTCTCTCTGTAACTGAACATGCCCTCTAATCTGCCACAGCTAGATAAAAGGGTGTGTGTGTACCCATGGTCTGGGGACACACTGTATCTGTTCACTAACACACACACACACACACACACACACAGGGTGGACCCACCTAACTTTTGGAGAAAAAAGGAAAAGTTATAGTCATGAAATTTTACTATGAAGACTGATTTTAAGGTTACAGTAAAGTAGGAAATATGGTAAGACAAGAAATAAATGTAAATCAGTGTGCTGATGTCTGAAACAATGGAAGTATCTCTGACTGCATTAGCGTGTCCATGACCTCAATATTTTAAGGATACTTTAGTTAAATATTAAAAGAAGAAATCAAAGATGAGGTTAGGCTGAAACAGGGCTGTGAAAAACTATTTGTCCCATCCTAAAGATAACCAGAGTAAATACAAATGCAGATTTTAAAATATGGTTCATTTCACAGCCTGACAACAATCGGTTACATGCAGGAAGTCCAGCTCTGGTATAACCAAACCCAAAAAGTACAAAACGAGGCTTTTTGGAGTGGCCAAGCCAAAATCTGGACTCAAATCTGATTGAGATGCTTTGGCTGTTCGTGCTTCAAAACCCTCCAGTGTATTCTGAATAAATCTGACACTTTGAGGCTCTGCAAAGAAGAGTGGATCGAAATTCCTCCACAGTGATGTGAAAGACTCATTGCCAATTGCTTGACTGCAGTTCTTGCTGCCAAGGGTGGCACACCCAGTTATAAGGCTTAGGGAGCAATTACTTGTTCACATAAAGTAAGTTTGGATAATTCTTTTCCTTTATTAAATTAAATCATAATTTATGTTAAAAACAAACTATATTTTGTGTTTATTCAGGTTTTCTCTGACTAATGTAACAATCTCGTTGATGATCTGAAAAATTTAAGTACAAAAGTGTAACAATAAAAAAGACAGAAATCAGGAAGGGGATGAACACTTTTTCATGGCACTGTAGGTTGGTGACAAGTGAAGACAAGAATCCTTTCAAGTATATAAATACAAAATTGTGTGTGTGTGTGTGTGTGTATAGATGTGGCGATTGGTGCTCCACATGAAGACGACCTTAAAGGAGCCGTATACATCTACAACGGCAGAAAAGAGGGCATCTCATCAACTCCATCCCAGGTACAAACTGAGCAAAAACCTCCAGGGCTGAAAAAAAGAAAAACTGCAGGTTCTCAAATGAAACAAGATATGAATGTCCCAATTTTACAACAGAAGTAAACATGTTTTCAGCCTGGTACAAAACAAGGTTTTGTTCTTTAAATGTAATCCCCCCAAGATGTATCTGGGCAAATTGTTATATAACTCACCTGTTTAATTTAGAGAATAACATGTATGTGGGGGACTTACCTGTCTTTAAGTGACAGGCAAGGGCTATAAATGAGGATGACGTGCAGGTAAAAATGTCACTTACTTACTTTTTAACTTACCAGTGCAATAACATGTCTAACAAAAATGCAAAATCTGACCTGATCCCCTTGCAGTCATAGCTCAAAGAGAGATTCATAAATAATTAAATATAATAGATAAAAACAGATCCAAGAGTTAAAGCTATGAATTTGTAGTGACTGGACAAATCAAACCAAGACAAATGATCTATTCTTTCTTTAATACTGAAATCAGTCAAAAATCAGAAAAGATATTAACAGAATAATAACCAGTGTGGGAGGTATACTAATGATAAATCCCCCCAAAGTATAAGAATATTATGAGACATTTTTGGTCTTTTTAATAGCACAGAGGAGAATAGACGGGAAAACAGACACAGAAATGGATTAGGGGAAGAAATGCAGCAAAGGGCCACTGGTCAGAGTGGAACTCAGGCTGCTATATTTGGCCTTTTGGCATACTTGCTTGCACATGCTTACATTAGTACTTATATCCTCCTGTGCTTTTAAGTAATATCATTACACCAGCTTTCGTGATATACCTACCATTGTGCTTTCAGAGGATTACTGGATCCACCCTTGGCCATGACCTCAGGATGTTCGGCCAGTCACTGAGCTCTGGCATTGACATTGATGATAACGGTTACAAGGGTAAACAATTCTGCGCCAAAACTTCTGCCATATTTGTTTCATTAGATCGTTTTAAGCAGGCTAAACCCGCTCTGTCTCTGCAGATGTGGCAGTCGGTGCGTTCCTTTCTGACTCAGCCGTGGTTCTCAGGTAAGTCGTCACTGAAGCTTCCTGTTGAAACTTTACCCAAAAAGACTCCGTCTGTAGTTACCCTCTTCTCATAGTAGTGAACAGGAATGTTTTTTTTTAATGTATGTAGTGTGCAGGAGAACCAAAAGTGTCCCAACATCTGTGGAAAATATGGTGAAAATAACAAAATCCACCTGCTTTATTTGTTTTCAGTTGTTTTCAGTGATTCATAAACCCCAGTCTGCATGCTGTGATAATTTCTCTGACTGTGTGCTTGTGCTGCAGGACCCGTCCAGTGATTCAAGTGAACGCGTCTTTGATCCTGCCGGAGCAGATCGACGATCGGATGGCGCTGTGCCGAGAGCTCAAGCATCCAGCTCCCTGCTTTAACGTTACCATCTGCTTCAGTGTCCAGTCCAGACATTTCAGAGGGCACATAGGTACTGCCCTAATTGCACGTCTTTAGTGTATTATCTGTTAATTTATAAAATTTAAAAGCTACCTATGTTTAAAAGTAAACACCAATCAAGCACATCATTAGAGTCAGTGACGGCAGGTGACTGGAACACCTTGCTATAATGTAGTATTTTGTTGGGGAACCAGTCATTCTTGTGGATGTTACTCACCGAAACACTCCACAGTGGCACCCAAAGCCTCAGCAGAAAAATCCATATGTCCCCTCTCCCCAGCCACCTCCTCCAGCTCATCCAGGGAAACGTCGAGGTGTTCCCAGCCCAGCTAAGAGATATAAACTGTACATTGATCTGTGGCTCTCTTCCACAGCGTGTCTTTAGTCCTGTCTCCCTCCCCACACCCCCAACTGGTCACAGCAAATGCTTGCCACACCCTGAGCCTGGTTCTGCTGGAGGTTTCTTCCTGTTAAAAAGGATTTTTTCCTTCCCACTGTCGCCAAGTGCATCTGATAGCTGGGGTTTTCTCTTTATTATTGTAGAGTCTTTACCTTACAGTTTTTAAATTAATAATTGTGCAGCATGCCCTAGGGCTACCCCTGGGCCTCCTCCTGGAAGAACATGCCCGGAGCACCTCTCCCAGGAGGCGCTGAGGAGGCCTCTTGTCCAAATGTCCAATCCACCTCAACTGCCTCCTTTCAGTGTGGAGGAGTAGCAGCTCTACTCTGAGCCACTGCCGAATGCCTGAATTCCTCACCTTATCTTTAAGGGAGAGGCCAGTCTCATTTTCGTCACGTCTCCTTCACTGTGCAACCCTTGTGACCATTGGTGAGGGTGGGGACATAGATTGACTGGTAAATTGACAGCTTTGCTTTTCCGCTTATCTGAACATCTCATAAATGAATGTAGTGGTCAGTTTTATGTAATCAGTCAGCCAAAGCTGCAGAGTCACACTCCTCCTTATTGTAAAATACATAAATGCAAGCCTCCAGCCGTTGTCTCTTTCTCCCTCTATCCTCTTGTACAACAGCAATGTGCCTAATTGCAGTTTCAGTGCTGGGATTGGATGATAGCTTCTCCAAATGGAAACATTTGTTTTGCATAAAGTGTACAACCTGATTTTTGAAGGTTGTTTCTCTCTTCTCTTTTTCAGATCTTCAGTATAATCTGACCTCTGACCTCCTCCATAAACCGTCCTTCCCACCTCGGTTCTATTTCCACGGTAACGGATCGTCCAATATCACAAATGAGCGTGTACGAGCACGACAGGGGCATCTCACTTGTGTGGCCCATGTGGCTTACCAAAGGGTAATATACTCACCCACTGTCTATTTTGGGCATATTAACATGTGATGCACTGATTGGATTAATGTTAATGCAGTGATGCTAAAATGTTTGTCTTTCCTCCTCTGAACCCTTTTTCTTTCCTCCAACAGAAAGATGTGAGGGACATTTTTACTCCGGTTCAGTTTGTGGTTTCTTACAGTCTCAGGGAGACAAACAGCCGCAGAGCCTCTTCCACATCCTTCCCTCCGTTAAAACCCATTTTGCAGCGGAGCGTAGGACACCGCAACACCATCACCAGCCAGGTACCAAGCTAGCGTACAAAGACCCAGCAAATAACAGCTAGAACAGCCCATCATGCACGCAGTAATCAATATCTATATTTATAAATCTGCTCTAAATAAAAATGAAAAAATTCTACTTGCAGTTACAACACAATGAATTAGCTTAATCAGCTATAAAAGCATAGACGCATAAGTTTAGCATACTGCTAAACTAACACATTAAGCCATCTGCGAATTATTATTTTTTATCTTTGTTTGACCTTTGTATATCAACAAACCATCTCGCCTGTCCAGATGTGCTTTCAGCTGCATCTCAGCACATTAACACTCTCCTGCTGTGTGCGTCCCCCACATGTTGCTCACACTCATAAAGCAGTGCAGGAACAGTTTACAAGTAGGAATTCACAAGTGGAGTTAGTCATCAGAGGTTTTTTATTGAACCTCTCAAGTTGTTTGATGTTATCACTGAAGTAACACGATCGAAATGTTTATTTATTCTCACGGCTGCCGCTAACCCGCTGCTTCTTTTCTTTCTCTCAGACTCGTTTTGCTCGTTCCTGCTCCCTGGTGAACTGTTCGACAAACATGCAGCTGTCAGCTCATCTAGTGCTCCCACAGTAAGATCTCTCACACACACACACTGCAGGGAGCTGTGTGTGAATGACAAAAAAAACAACAACAGGGAAACAACCGGAATATACGTGGAAAAAAAAAAAGAAAAAAGGATATCAAGCTGTTGTGTTTGCATATTTTTGTGTAGAGAATAAATGTGTGCTGTATGCTGTTGTAATTAGTAAGTGCCAGAGTTGCTGGTTATATTCAGCTTCACACTTTGGGCTCCTGAGATCAAACTGTAAAAATCTGCAAGTTAAAACCAAAAAAGAAATCAAAAGTATTTCAACAGTAGAGAAAATTTGATTCTGATTGTAACTCCAGCGATGTTTGTCGTGTTTGTCTTCAGTCAGCAGGAGTACTTTGCGCTGGGATCCGGGCAGACTATCATGTTGAAAGCCTCACTGCTGAACTCTGGAGATGACGCCTTCCTGCCACGACTGACGCTACGGTTGCCCAGCAACATCCACTACATTAAAGTACTGCAAAATGTGAGTCAAACTTTCAGATACCCTCTCTACTTTTAAGATTTGGCTTAAAAGTTTCCTTTTTAACAAAGCTTATAGTAAGGGCTGGATCAGGTGACCCTGAATCCTCCCTTAGTTAAATTGCAATAGGTTTAGGGAGGGGTTCCCATAATGCACCAAGTGTTTTTCTTTACACACCTCACCTCTCTCACTCTATGTGTTTATACACAATTTTGCATCAGTTACTAATTTTAATCTCTCATGCCTGGTTTCTTCCTGTTAAAGGGGAGTTTTTCCTTTCCACTGTCGCCAAGTCTGATTTCTGGTTCTGATTGTTCGGTTTTCTCGCTATTACTGTAGGGTCTTTACCTCACAAAGAGCCTTGAGGCAACCATTGTTGTGATTTGAAGCTATATAAATAAAACTGAACTGAATCAATAGATAAAATGGTGTGTAGCTTGTGTGTTTCAGGGTCATTTTCAGGGCTGTTTTTAGGGCAGAAAAACATACCTACCGTCATGTATGTACTCCTAAATGGTCCTTGCTTAGTTAGCTGCCAGAGGTGGATGCTGATTGGGTAAAATGAGAAAAAAGTGCCATCATTCTTAGAAAAACAGAACTCTATTTGAGAACCTAGATGAAGATGAACAGCAGACTGCTGCTCTCTTAGACAGTGTCATCAGCAACCATAGGCAGATATAATGGACAGCAGTATGTTTCATGGCTGCTGTGTAAACAGACAGCCACACAGCATTAACTGTTAAATGATTATTGTCAACATTATAATACAAAACGAAACCAAAACAAGCCTGCTTCTCTTCAACCAGGAGGACAATGTGGTCAGATGTGATGTCACACAAGAAGTCAATGCTACAACAGTGAGTGTTGACTGCAGCGTGACCAGCTTCCTCCTTCCAGCGCACACCCAGGTAAGCCAGAGCTAATTGGAGGTAATAACACACTGATTACATACTAAAATTATGGGGAACCTGAATGTCGTGCTCCAGCCAGCTATTATGGGTCCTCAACTTCCTGTGGTCCACATATCAAAGGTCAAAGCGGGTTCTTGTACTTTCAGTTCTCTATTTTTCTTCGACGTATCTGTTTAAAATATTGCAAAACTATCTGGTGAAACGGACCGCAGCTGGTTTAGAGTAGAGATTCCTGTATTGTGTAAAAAAGTTCTAGCAGCAAAAATCATAAAGAAGGAAGATGTTAAGTAATGTTTTTTTCTTGTAGCTGAATATCAGCTTTCTGTTGGATGTCAACCAGAACAGCACACCTGGCCAAAACCTCATTCACGTCAACACCAGCAGGTAAATCTTCGCTCACCTCATTTTTCTGAGGAGAACAGACACCTCACCTATGACAGTAAAGCAAACTAATGTATGAAGATAAAGTGTTATTTATAAAGGAGTATGCAGAATGCAGATTAATGTGAACATTTAAGAAGAAACAATAATGAATATGAAATAGCTTTATAGACTTTTAAACCTTGAATCAAACAATCAGGGAGTAAACATGTGAAATTTATTTTCTCTGCAGTGATAACTATGAGAGGAGGGAATATCTCCATGACAACTCCATCAGCCTCACCCTTCCTCTCAAATATGGAGTCAATGTGAACATCCACGGGTGAGCCCACCTTGTTGCGCATTACTATTATTTGCTTTGTCAAAGGTTTTTTTGGGGTGTTTTTTTTAACCATGTCAGTGAAATTCATGTGAACAACATTTTTTCCTCAGAGTGCAGAAATAAAGGACATATTTATCTCCAGAGAACTAATCCCAATGCTTTCTGTCTGCCTGTTTACAGTTTTGTGACTCCCTCCTCTTTTGAAGTTGGAGATGAAGACTTGATTTCCACTAACTGCTATTCAGAAAGCTTCAATTACACATACAAGGTAGGTCAGCCTGATTCAGAGGGTTTTTTTTCATATGTGATCAGACAGGATGCAAACACACTTCTGGATGCTTTAAATGCCAAACAAGCAAAAACAGTAACAGATGGTAGACTTGTACGCATTTGCAGACAGTTTGATTTATGTGTATGTCTGCCCGTATGTATGTTATAGTAATTCTAAAAACACTGAGTCTGTTCTGTTAAAACATGTCACTGAGCTGAGGCAGTATAACATTATAATACGATATTTTCCCATTTTTTCCATTTTATCCTGATCCTTTATTGCTGATTACAAATGCAAAGTTTAAAGAGAACTAGAAAAATTTGCATTTTCTGCGAAAATGCTGTGTGGATGCTGTAACGCTGAAGCTGTCTGCTAAAAATAGCTGAAAAAGCTGAAAAGTAGCAAAAAATTGTAGTAACTTTCCAGAAGCATAAGAACTTAGCAAAAATGTAATTACTTAGCAGAACTGCAATAACGTAAAGAAAACATAATACTTGGCAGAAATACAAAAACATAGCAGAACTTAGAAGAAATATTGTAAATATTATATATATATAAATATATTTAAAAAAACTATATAAATATGACATATTATATGTGTACTGGCAGCATGGTGGCATAATGGTTAGCACTGATGCCAAGAAGAAGAGCAAGAAGGTCCTGAGTTTGACTCCACCATCTCCACCCACACACACACACAACCCTGATAAGCGGAAAAGGATGGATGGACTTATGTACTGAGTTTATGAAGAGTTAGATGTGTCAAGGTGGGATGTTGTGACACACAGAAGTCTCACGAAATTAGTTGCATGACCAAACTTATTTATTTAAGAATGTAGGTCAGCAAATGAGGAAACACAGAGATGCGAGTTCTGTGTGTCACGGCACTTTCAACAGCATATAGTCAAAGAAAATGGAATAGAAGAATGACTAGTTTGGCCAAAATAAAAAATATATGCAGCTGTCCAAAAATACAATTTCATATGTGAAGCTAAAACTTTACAGCAAGTCCAATTTCATCAACACTGGTTGGAGAGTTTAGGAAAAGTGTCATCTGTAAGTTGGTCATTTCTGGTTTCAATTGGGAACCTTTGGTCTTAGCAGTAGTAGCACATCATGAAAACTGGAGCCAATCAACAATTTTTTAGCAACTCTTTAAAGGGAAGAACCAAACAGGAAGTTGTTGCTATGTTTGCGCTCATTTGGTTTACTTTCACCGGTGCCCACACATCAAAAGGTGAAAAAAAACACAAGGTAAATAAACAGGGCTCTTGGTATGAACACGTCCTTGCCTTAGAGAGTCTCAGCATCTTGTTCCATCTCCCTGCAGGTATTAAACTCCGGTCACAGCAGGTCAGTCGATACTGTGGTTGAAATTGCGCTGCCGAAGATCCTCACACCTTACCGTCACAGGCTGTTGCAAGTGGTCGATTGGAAGGTACATCAACACAAACATCGGCAGTGGGTTTGACACTTAGGTTCTGTGTGGTTTCTCATGTGTCATGGCTAGAATTGAGGTGAAACAAGCCACGAGCGTGAGAAAAGTTATTCGTAAATGGCGACAGAACAGACCGTACTAACACATGAATTCTCTCTGCAGTCGTCTCAAGGCGTGTGTTACATCAGTGACACAACTGTTTCAGTCATCGACGACTGCGACGCCCCTCAAGCTTCCTTCATCAAACAACTCATCTTCTTCTTTTCGCCCACCTCCACCCGTAGAATGGTATGCAAACACAGACACACACACACATAAAAATGTGATATAGCTTATGCAAGGGTGCAAACTTTAATTTTGTTCTCTATGTTCAGTTTTGTGGTCGCACCGATAAGGCTTGTGAGTGGTTAGTGTGTCGCCTCGGTAATTTGGAGGCGGGGAGAGAGGTCACCATCCAACTGGAAGCCAACCTGAATCCTGCCGTACTACGGCAAGCTCCGGTAACACACTAACACGCAGGCGACTGATTTCACTGCATTTTGCCAGAGTTTCTGGTCCCTGATGCCTTTCTCTGTGTCTCAGGGTCGCCATGGGATCATGATCCTGGAAAGCATGGCAGTGATGTCATCACCTAAACAAGATAATAACACCATCCTCATCCAGGATCATCCTGTAGCACAGGTAAAACCCCCTGCAGCCAATCAGAACACACTGCTGTGTGATCCGAGAGTCTGGGCTTCACAGTTGCCGTGGTGCAGCAATGTTAAAGATGTATGTTGAACATTTCCAGGTATGCGTGGAAGCAGTTTTTACCCAGAAACCCTCAGCAATGGTGAAAATCTTCATTATCGTTGTCAGTTTAGCCGTGGGGTTAACCATCCTGGCAGCTCTCATCTGGTGTCTGTGGAAGGTACTCAATTTTTGTCTTTCAACATAAACTCATTTTTGTGACAATTCTCCCACCAATAACTGGTGTATTTTAACAATCTGCCATCTTGTAAAATATCATGGCTCAGTTCTGCGGTACTGACCAACCACATTATGTTACAGTTTAATGTTTGCAGTTGATACACAGGCTTCACGTTTTCTTCTTCTCTTTGTCCGTCAGGCTGGATTCTTCAAGAGAGAATTACATCATAAGGAGGATGAGTTCAACAGAGACAGCTGGGACTTCGTTCCCAAGCACAGCAAAAGAGAAAGCACTACCTAACCCAGATTCTTCTCTCTGCCCGTGATCTGACCCTAAGGTGGAGTTCACATTGTACCTATGAAAGAGTGCTCATCATGCCTCGGTCTTACTGCAGCACTGTGAACGTCATCGGTCAGTGAAATTCGTCTACGCTCCGAGGGTTTGAGTCTAACACGTGACAGTGAACGCCTCCTGAATCTGACTGTGACCTTTTAAACTATTTTGCCAACATGCTTTCACAAAAAGGAACCAGAGAAATCCAAAGACCTGAAAGAACAAAGACTGCAGCGTTCGATGGATAGAGGATTAATTAAAAGGGAAGTGAACCGGAAGTCATCAAATCTGAACCAATCGGAAAGCCTCGGAGCTTCCTGGGATTAATGACCTTCATTTTGACTCTTCTTTTTAGGAGAAAACAAAACAAAGAACATCACTTTCTATGATCTCAGGTGATTTAAACTTTTCCTCTGATTGGCTCGTAGCTCTGGGAAACCTTCCTTTTGTCTGTGTAACTTATTTTCTGAATTTTGTTCACCTGCTGACCAACACACAC